ACTTCTTGCTCAGCTGACTGGCTGAAGACCCAGGTCAAAAATGACCTGTGGAAGTATCTCGATCATGTTTGCTCCAGACTCGGATTAACTGCCTTTGTCTCCGCGACATAGGTCATTGAATCCGAGTAATTGACTGACTGACTTCGATGTGTATCTTTACTTAAAAATGTTGTAGGTTATCTCAACCGAATTGGCTTTTATGGACCCATTCCCGTGTCTTTGTGCCGTCACCGATCCTTCCCATTTCTCCGCTGGGATTTCCGCTACAAATTGCTCACCTCCACTCTACGCAGCGGTTACTTCTAGTGGTTTATGTAGAAATAACGTGGTATGACATTTTCGAGTAATGTATTCTTTCACGATTGTTTATATTTTCTCGTATTACTTCATATACTTTTTCTCAGTTTAAAATTTTAGCAGTTGTTGCTTGAACTCGTCGCCAAACAGTCTTGCTATTCAAAATGAAATGCAACAGGCGTGGCTCCATTTGAATGTTTCATGAATTGTCTCAATGATGAGATGGTTTGCACCAGAAACTTTTATATCATTTCAAGTGAAAACAGTGTCCTTCTGAAGTGCTTTACTTCTGTTCGTTGTTTAGGAAAAATCCATATTAAAATCATTTTATTTTCGCTTGTTTTAACTTGGTTTTTAATTATATAAATGCCTTGAACCAGGAAACGTAAAAAATGCTTTAGAAGAATTATTCTGAGAAGCATGAAGCATATGTTTCTTTTGAATTTCAGTGACTGAGTGCTTTCTTATAACTTCCTTAGATCTGCTTGGACGCATCCCACAGTAGAAAGTTTACCGTTTCTCGACAGTTCGTGGTGCAGGATCTTTGAATGACTCATTGCTTTTCCAAAATAAATAAATAACAATTTGAACGTAAACCTTGGTCTCTAATTTGATGTAATAAAAATTATTTCTGCTTGTTGTGACTATGTTTTGACTCTAGTTTAAATGTTTAGTTTCACTTTTCTGAATATACGGCCGGATTTTAAAATATAGCTCTGCGTGCATCTGATCACAAGCACATGAAGGCATTTTGCAGGTGTCCGTTTACACTTTACGTGCCAAATATGTTTCATCCAATCGAATCGACATAATTTTTTCGCATTTATTGCTAATTCCCTTTGGCAACAAATTCAACACCACTCTCTGGCTCCTTTTAACCAATGGAAAAACAAATAGCAGTTCAGTGACATGCAAACTTTCAGGACTGCATGGTATGCCCTTGCGATTTTACCTTAGTTTGCGAAAGTGTGTCTTTGCTGTTCGATACATGAGCTTTCGTTAACCTTCACCCTAATGAGACGCCTTCAAGGCATTGATGTCGCCCACATCGCTACTGGTCGAAAATATTTAGCAAGGTATTGTTCAACCTTGAATTAGAAACCACACTGTTGTTCGCCTTCTTCATGTTCCATTGCCACTTCTCCTTTCGGGTCACGAAAGCAAACTTGTTAGACAGTGCTTCCAACGTTCCCGATCCTGTATCAGAGTCTCAGCTTCGGCAGAAGACAAGTCTGGAGCAGACTCCTT